GTATAGACCATATGTATATTCATTTATTCATCTTCAACGAGGATAAACAAACGAAAGGTGCCACTTGTCGACATTAGTAGAGGATTTCGAATGGAACATGTCTCAAACACCGACTGAGACCACTGCCTACTTGAGATGGTGGGCGACTGCAGGGACGCGACATATTTGTGATTTACGACATGACAGTTCGAAACCAAAGTAATTGTCCAGTGTCCACACCTGTTCGTATTCGTTTTCTAAGCTCAGCGTTCTAAATTTGCGCGACGTCTGGTCTCTATACAAAACACGAGGGAACGAGCCATGAGAAGGAAATCAGTGCACAAATAAATTAGAAGTATGACCCATGAAAATGGTGACTCTGAAACTAAAAAAAACATTGTACAATGCTTCGGTTGATTGTTTGAGACAGTCCACTTGCTTTTCGAAACAAAATTCAATCGTCTAGTCTCAAATTGAAGGAATCACGTACGTTCAATCACGACGGCAGCTTATGCCAAGGCTGCTCAAATTAGAAGTCTGCGTTCAGATTGGAATTTGAAAATTTTGGATGACAGAAATCATCTGAAAATATGTACGCACAATGGAACAAATGATACCACCGCTAATCTTTTTAGCAAAAACGTATAGATGAGTATGGTGTCATGCAATCAAAGAAAATTCATTCAATTTGTGTCGTCTATTCTATTTCTGAAATACAGGAAGTTTGTTATCTGAATGTATCAATCGAACACTGACGGACAAATCAAAACTTCGTTTTTCGAACATCATAACTCAATTTTCTTAATACACATACAATGAATATATATCAAAAAAATGCTGGAAATTTATTCTAGATTAGAACAGTAGTTATTGAACAAAATGTGATCATATTCATGATTTTACATGAATATAAGATTATTAAATAAAAACTCTAGTTTTTTTTTCTCAATAAAAAAGCATTTGACTTAATTTTATTAGATAACATCGAACATATACGTATAGATTCTTCGCACGAGTCAAAAAGATCGAGAATTTCTTTTTAACAAAAGGCCGCCTGAGCGACACACGTGTCGTTGGTTGTCTTTTGCACAAAACTTACATTAGTTTGACTTTTCGGGTAATCATTACCTGTTTTGCTAGGAATAAGGAGAAAGAAAAGGAACAGGTATATTTCAGGTAAATCACAGCTACTGTTTTGATTTTAAGACCATATTTGGTCTTATCGTTATCACTTCAAGCATTGAACAACACGAGCCGGTCATTTGATCTGGATAATAATGGAAATAGCAATCCGCATCTAGGTTATTTTATTCAACGTAAATAAAATTATTCAGAGACAATTCAAATGCTAGTGTCAACTATGTCAAAGATACTAACCGTTGATTTTTTCAATGAATTTGTTTTAAAACAATTGTTTCGTTTCGTAATCGCTTCTATTTCGGAAGGAAGAAAAATTGTTTTCTATGCCTGAAATGTCAATCGAACTGAGAGCTGGCATAGATAAAAAAATATTTCAGATGAAAATTAATGAGTTTGAGTTTTTTTGTTTAAATGAGGAGCAGTCTTGACGAGCCATTTTATCGCCGATCATTTTTCCAAATGAAGAATCCGGGTCCTAAACCATATCGAACAATTTGGCAATAATAAGTTCTATGGAATAAGTCAGTCGGGCAGTGAGAATGTGCAAAATGCTTGCACGATTACATTTTGCGGTCGCTCACGTCTAATGATAATTTAAGGGTCATTTGACATTACGATTGTAACGAAGCAAGAGACGGCCGACACCATTACAAAATTGAATGCACTTGCATTCCGGACGCCGGAATACCGCATTATTGGGCTCGTGCACAAAATCGTTTGCTACTTTACTTACGTCTATCCGACGGAGTGACGAATACCTTACATAGCCAATCCGGAAACAATTTTTGCAGTAGTTTGTTTCAACTCGCTCAAACCTCATCGTCTCTATACAATGAACTAATGAACTAATTGACCAGATTTGTTTGATTCTATTTCTTTGTCTTGCATTCATTTGTTGCCCAACTTAAGAATCATTCCGGTTTACCTGTTGCGAATGTTCGGTGTCATTAACGTTTGGAATATCGATTTAGATTTTGACGAAATATTGTATAATGACTTTTTCGTTTCATTTCTTTTCATGTATAGAATTTACAATGTCATTTTATGACATTTGATATAATGAGTTGAAGAAATAAAGAAAAAAAAAATGTTATATGTTGTGAAATGTTTCTGTGTTTTCATTCTGGCACAGTCTATAGACATATGACAAGCAACAAAATAAGCTGTGGCACTACACGCGCTAGAAAACCGCCACACACAATGGGATGCGAGCAATATCAAACTGAAAAAACAAGTGAAAAAGGCACACAAACTCGACGCATACGAAAGCATCTATATGTATTTAAACAGAAGCATCGCAATGAACACGATGGAAGCACCAATACGGTCACCACTGTTCAGATCGATTGAAATTTACTTCAAGTAGCTTTTCGGTTACACCGGGTTTTATTGTTTGAGTTGTTGTAATTTTTTGGCGTGCGCTCGCACCACAACACATTGTTACATGTTTTGCTTTCGGTGTATAATTTTCTTCTTTTTCTCTCACTCACAATCGCAAACAGAGAGCTGAGTCCAGTGTAATTTGATACTCGCTGAGGATGACAAATGTCGAAATGCACCCGAACCAAAATTTCGTTTATAAATAAATATTCATATTGATTTATGTTTGAAATTTGAAAAAGCAAAGTCACTTTAAGGTGTTTTATTTAAAATTTAATCGATTGAAAAAATCTTTCCATTTCAATTCCCTTAACAAAGTGTACGGAAAAGTAAAATATTCAACATTACTATTGTTGACAGCATATTGAATCTATTCCAATAGTTCTTCAATATTAATTCGGTTTCCTTTACCGATAAAAAGTTTGGCGACATTATTGTGACCTGAAAAATAAAACAGATCAATGAAAAAGATCAAAGCGGTATTTAATTTAGTCAGCAGTACCATGGTTAACAGCTAACTGAAGTGGTGTTAGATTCTCATGATTTCTAATATCAACTTTGGCTCGTTTTTTGATGAGAAGTTCAGCAACATTCTTGTGACCTTAGAAATAATTTAGATCGATGAAAAAGATCAAACCGATTCTATATTTTGTGAAAATAACTATTCAACATTACCATTTGTAGCAGCATAATGAAGAGGTGTCTGATTAAAATCATTCATGGCATCCATATTGGCGCCTTTGTTGAGGAGAACCTCGGCGACATTTTTGTGACCTGGAAAAAAGATCACATCGATGAAAGAGATCAAATCAATCGTTTCTTTAATAAGAACAAGCATTCAACATTACCTTCTAATGCAGCTAAATGAAGAGCTGTGGTATTCAAATCATTTCCAATATTAGCGTTAGCTCCATTCTTAAGAAGCACATCAGCGACACTTCCGTGACCTAAAATAATACGGATCAATAAAAGAGATCGGCGAGATATCTTATTTAGTCAACTTTACCATTGATAGCTGCCAAATGAAGAGGTGTGTGGTTCAAATCAGTCATGACATCCATACTGGCGCCTTTATTGAGGAGAACCTCGGCGACATTTTTGTGACCTGGAAAATTAATTCAGATCGATGAAAGAGATCAAATCAATCGTTTCTTTAATAAGAACAAGCATTTAACATTACCATCGGATGCAGCTAAATGAAGAGCTGTGTAATTCGAATCATCTCCAATATCAACGTTAGCTCCATTCTTGAGAAGCACATCAGCGACACCTCCGTGACCTAAAATAATACGGATCAATGAAAGAGATCGGCGGGATATCTTATTTAGTCAACCTTACCATTCATAGCTGCCAAATGAAGAGGTGTGTTATGCAAATAATTTTTAATACTAAGATCGTTTGCTTTACGGCTGAGA